ACACACACACACACACACACACTGAAATGGACGGGACAAAAGCGGAAGGTGGTTCTTAAAGAGAAAGAGGCCAATTTCAAGGCATTAAGAAGAGGAAGTGATGAGAAGACAAGTTTATTTTTTATTTAAACATAAAACAGCATTTTAATAATAACTAAAGGTGACATAGATACTTTATTATGGTATAATATTTAAATATATACCTGAGAAACACATAATATAGGCCCTTTAAGGAATAAAAAAAACTTTTTTCTATTCCAGTGGTTTATACTCCTTACATTTAAATCTCAGAGAATATACTTTATTGCTACACTGAATGCAGTTGAGCAATCTCCATTGTTCCTTAACTTTTGCAGAGTCATTCAAACAGCGGCCCCCTAAAAAATGTTCTTCTCATAAAAAACTATGTAATAAGTTGTTTGTTGTTTGTGTGCACACCCTGAAGCTAATACTTCATTTGTACCGTGTTCAGTTTTCTGGAGGGGAAACATTGGAAACTAAAAACAAAACAACAAAAATGACTTTGTTCTAGGAAGACTGTTACCGATGAGCAGATGAAAAGTTTGCCTCATGACAGTTGATGTGACCAGAACACCACCGAGCTTTGTTAGGTTGCTGTAGTAGATATCATTGGGCCACTTCACCCTCAGATTAATGTCCTGGGAAGAGGAAACCACGATCAGAATTGAAGATAAGAATTCACACTCACATACAAAGAAACCCATCAATTTATGCTGTTTATTTGGAGATTTTTTTTTCCATGTAGTATTGTCATAAATATTGGCTCTGTTTGTAACAATGAATCATTGCATGAAAACAAACAGTCCGATGCTGCAGACATCAGATGGCTGACTCAGGATCCAAACCCTCCACCTTGGCTCATCTAACAGCTTCTACAGTGACTGAGGTGGCTACGACATGACTGATCCTACACCATCCTTCTCTTTGTCTATGAAGTTTTATATTGGGTCGAGGTTAACAAAACAAATTGCTGTAGATAGACATGTATTTACATTAGTCTTTCCTTGTTTTTTCAACGATAAAGAAAATGGTAAAACAAACATTTACCACAAGTTAACATTTAACACATGAACAAATGCACCATACAGCCACTGTTTCGAAATCGCTTTCTTGCTATCCGACAAAAGAGCCTGAAGCAATTTAGTATCTCCCCTTTTTCCAGTTGTTCCAATTCTCTGTTTGAACTGGCTTCTTTCATTTTAATTTTTATTAAATTTTATTTTTGTTTTTAATTATGTTGTTTCTGTGATATATTGATTTTTTATTTGTTTTATTTTCTGTGAATTGGGCCCCAGGAGGAATAGTCTCTGCTGAGATAGAGACTAATGAGGACCCAAAATAAAATAAAATAAAATAAAATAAAATACCTAGTGTACAAGCTAATAGAAGATAATATCAGCTCTAGAGGCTGTTACAGGGTAGTACCTGGTATCCAGGAAGTGTGCGTACAGCTTCCACAATGGCTAAAGCAGCCAGATGCTGCAGGAAAGGTATTCTTTGTCCAAGTCTGGAGCTCAGCTTGATTTGGACACTAACAGTGAACATGGCACAACCTGGTGGGCTGAGCCAGCCATTTCTGCCCCGACCTGAATTAGTAAGAAACCAAATATCACACAGAGATAAGCATCTTTCATACGTACAAGCATTAATCTGCAGGTATAGACTYTGGTCAGGCACTAACCTCTTCCCTCGGTCTGGCTAGATGCTACTGCTATTAAACCCACATTGTCTGGCAAGTTCACAGTTAGCCTGCAGAAAAAATAGATAAAGAAATGTTAAAAAAAGTTTTAAATTATATTTTTAAATTCAGGAATAAGGTGTTTCTCCTTTTTTTAACTGTCACAACAAAAAGAACTGAAAGCTATCTAAATCATTGTTTACGTCTTTCTGATTGGACACACTGAGGTGCAATCTTGAGCACTGATCAACAAAGAGCCTACTTGGTAGCAAGCTGTGTTCAGTTCAGTCGAGTTTTAAGAGTGCACTGCATTTATTTTCTCAACAAAGAGAGATACCTCATCAAATTTTGACCAAAAATTAACAAGTCCTACATTGCTGTTTATGATATGCTTCAAAGAGCATGACCCCTATAAAAGGTGATTGTTTTTTATGGTGTACCTAACCCCCACTGTGAAAGCCTAACCCCTCCGGGCAAATTTGAAAAATGGTAGTGCCAAGAGACAGGCACGGCCAAGTCTGAGGATAAAAAAGGAGGTGTGGTCATGACGAGGGAGCATGCCAGATAGCATAATTTGACAAGCTAACATTTCTGAGTGTTCTAAGCCAGGGGTTTTCAAACTGTGGGGTGCACCTCCCCTAGGGAGCATCAGAGGTCTTGGAGAGGCTTGAGGTGAATTGGGAAGTAGGGAAATTTATGTAAGGCTTACAGTAAGTTCACACTGCAGGTCTTAAGGCCCTGTCACACTACACAAACTATGCCAACTTATGAAACTGACCAGTAAACAGAGAGCCTTGACTTACAGCTCTGTTCCCTCTTCACCACAACAGAATGGTACAGAGTACTCAAAACTGCAGAAGCTGCACCGATCTGTCTATCAATCTCATGTTTCATTCTTCCCTCACTCATGAACAAGATACTTGAACTCCCTAGTGAAGGTAAAGAGTTTGTCCAGTGTTCCACAGCTAGGACGGAAGCTGCATCGCTCATCCAGAATCTGAGGTTTGACTGTCTATCGAACTCTCTTCTCCAATACCCTTGAAAAGACCTTACCAGGAAGGCTAAGGAAAGTGATGCCCTTGTAAATGGAGCACACCCTCCAGTCCACCATTTTGAAGAGCGGAACCACCACCCCAGTCTGCCAATCCAGTGGCACTGACCCTGATGTCCACAAAATATTTTAGAATTGCATCAACCAACACAACCCCACAACATCCAGAGCCTTCAGGAACTCTAGGCGAATCTCACCCACCCCCGGCGCCTTGCCACCATGCTTTTAAACACCTTGGTGACCTCAGCACCAGAGATTGGAGAGCCTGATCCAGGGTTCCCAGGCTTTGCATCCTCAATGAAAAACACGCTGGTGGGACTGAGGAGGTCTTCAAAGTATTCTGCCCACTGACCCACAATGTCCTGAGTTGAGGTCAGCAGCGCACCATCCCCACCATAAACAGTGTTGGTGGCGAACCAACTCACCACCAGGTAGTGGTCAGTTGACAGCTCCACCCCTCTCTTCACCCGAGTGTTCAAGACATGCGGCCAAAGATCCCAAGAGACAACAAAGTCAATCTTCGAAGAGCGGCCTAGGGTGTCCTGGTGCCAAGAGCACATWTCGACACCCTTATGCTTGAACATGGTGTTTGTTATGGACAATCCATGATGAGAACAGAAGTCCAATAACAAAATACCACTCGGGTTCAGATCACAGGGAACATTCCTCCCAACCACGACCCTCAAGGTCTCACTGTCATTAACCACGTGAGCATTGAAGTCCCCCAGCAGAATGAGGGAGTCCCCATCAGGAGTGCTCTCCAGCACCCCCTCCAAGGACTCCAAAAGGGGTGGGTAATCTGAACTGCTGTAACGCAGGTAAGCAAAAACAACAGTCAGGACTCGTCCCCCCACACATGGGGGAGGGAGGCTACCCTCTCATGCACTGGGCTAAACCCCAAGATACAGGCACCAAAATAGGGGGCAATAAGTATGCCCACTCCTGCTCAGCACCTCTCAGCTGGGGTATTATTGGGGCTGTAATTACGCTAATTTCCTCTCCTTGGGTACAAGCACCTGAATACRAACAGGTGGCATTCATCAGTTTACGCTACTCATTTACACACTTTTCCTGAAGATAGAAGCATTTGTTCTGACGTGGCATGTTCGTACGAACCCTTTGTACGAACAAAAGAGAAATTTAGGATAAGAAAACGAAAATGTTCRTGCATGAGGCCCTATGAGTTCATTTTGATGAGAAAACAGAAATCAACCTCAACAGTTGAAAAATGAAAAATGTTAAGAGAATAGTTTGTTACCCTTCTAACAGGTCCATAGTAGAAGTGACGATCTCAGCATACAGAAGAGTGTGCCCAAGATGGCTGGTCTGCAAACTTTTGGAATAAGTCTCAATATCGAAATGGGCCAAGTCCTCGGACTCCGTGACCAAGGCCAGGCAGCCCCTAGGTAGAGGACTATCACGGAGTTCAGAACATGACATCATTTTGAAGGAGGTCTTGGAGAATCTAAGAGTGTTTTCACAATCTGCACGTGTTTGAAGCCACTTCAAGAAGCTATTCCTGGCCTCCTGTGTGGAACATAAAAAAAATCCATATCTGATGTTATTACATTTTCATTAAAACCTCTACTGTATGTCTGTTTAATGATGGTGAGAATCATCATCATAAGCACAATTTTTAATATGTACTTCCATTAGTGGCACATCCACTTAAAGTAAGAACATGTTAATATACTGTACTTTAAAGAGTTTACATTAGGGGTGTCCCGATACCGATCCGATACCAGCATCAAGTACTCGTACTCGTAAAAGCCGGCCGATACTCTTAACCGATACTGCTTTTGTCCCCTCCTGTGCTGCRCTGCAGCACAAAGGGCAAATAACAATCCATACCAGGCGGTGGCGCTAACGCACTGACAAGTTATTTCCAACCGCACCCCCGAATAACAGAAGAAGAACGATGACGGTAGAAGAAGAAGTAACGTCGGCAGTTTGGAGATATTTTAAGATCAACACGGAGGACACCAAACAAGCAGACTGTCTGCTGTGCTCTGCTAAACTGTCAAGAGGAGGAGTGAAAGTTGGATGTTTTAACASCAGCAATTTGATTAAACATTTGAGGACAAGACATGACAAAGAAATCAGAGTTTGTTGCTGCTAGCAGTAGCCTTCATAAACAGCACTATGCTGCAGTTGTTGCAGTAACTTCAATGTTGTTTTTTCTTTCTTGTAGAACAAACTAAGACATAAGCAGAATATGGAAGGAAGTTTGTTGTAAAAGCATTTTATTTTTCACTGTGGTTCTTCTGAGATTTTGTTTTAGTTGTTCCATTTAAGATTGAACTGAAATTTACTGCACTTTATTACTATTAGTCATTTTTTAACAGTTTAAGACTGAAGCAGAGTAAACTTCTATAGATGTGCTGCTAAAATTTACATTATAGTTTACATTTTAATTTAAATTTGGTAGTTGCATGTTGAGGAAAATGTATAAAAAATAACTTGTTTTGTTTTTGAATGTATGCAACAGCATTCGTTTTGCAGTATTTGTATTGTTAATACATTCAGAGGAGGTGTGGCCTTATAAAGAGCCCATCAATATTTTGCATGATAATTGCATTTCATTTTCATTCTGTTTAATATTCAACAAGTTGAACAGATAATCCACATGAACCCCACTACATGGTATCGGCATCGGTATCGGTGAGYACCTAAACTGAAGTACTCGTACTTGTACTCAGTCTTGAAAAAACTGGTATYGAGACACCCCTAGTTTCCATATTTATTTACCTTCAAAACAGTTTGTCAAGTTTTCAGATTTAAAGACGTTTTAAAAGTACAAAAATGCCCATATCTTTGGTCCCTTAACTTTATTCTGAGAGGGCGTTACAGCATGTTTGAGTCACTGTTTCACAGACAGCAAACCAAAACAATTGTCAAATGTTGATTTATTTTTACAGATTTTATTTAAACAATAACCTTTCGAGTCGAGTCAAGACCCAAAAACAAACCACTATCGTCAGTGAGGAGTAGGGGTCGACTGACACATCGGCCGGACGATATTTTTTGGCCGATATTTGCGTATTTTCCTTGTATTGGTATTGGCCGATACGTTGGTTCGTTCAGCCGATCCATTCTTTTGATCATGTGAGCGCATGTTGCCGCCCCCTCCCTGGAAGAGAGTGGTTGGTAATGTTGTAAGACAGAGTGCCAACAACAATAAGGGTGAGTTATGAATTTTCTAATTTAGCTGTTTCTGCCCTCTGTCTTGGGACTATGAGGGGGAGAGAACAGCTGTGTGTTAAGTTTCACTTTCGAACAGGAGCGCCATGTTTTTAGTTTCACTTTGGCACTGGACTGTAATCAGCGTGTCCACGTTGTTTTTCTTTTAAAAAAATGCTGGAACTGCTCACAGGAGGCAGAAGAACACCTCTTTTCTTCTCCCTGCTGAATTAAAATGAAAAAGCTCTCGGTATTTTCTCGCTGTTACGTTCATAAGAGCGAGTAYAGAGCTGCTGTCCACATAAACGTGTATCGGTTAGACTGATGTCAGAATAATTGGTAACGTATCGGCCTTCAAAAACCTGTATAGGTTGAGGAGACCCCAAGATATCAAATCATGTAGAGCAAGGTATATTTTTTTAAACTGGTTGGAATAAAACTTTAAGATATAAAATCATACCAAGGGTGGCTGGTATAAGAGCTAAACCCTTCCTGGTGTTTACAATGGAAATTAGAAAATACCTAATAAACAAAAATTTTAAATACTTCACTGCCAGAGTGAACAGTGTCTTATATAAACTATTCACTAACAAAGTCGGAGTCCTGACTAACAGTGTAGTTAGATTGCTTTGGCATCGACTTCCACATTGCTTTAAATTGCAACCAAACAAAACATGAAATCCAGACGTTTTTATACTGCATGTAAATCGATTGTAGGTTCAACTTTAATTACACAAAAATGACACATTTTGATTATAAATCTGTGCTAAAAGTGCAATCTGTTTCAACTTTGTGTTTTATTTTTAGTTTGAACTTGTAATCTACATTTTTTATTTCATTCTAGCAATGTTTTGTCGTTACACTGACAACTCTGAGCCAAATAACATATTCATCTTCATGTTAGTCAGGACATTTTTAACATTACAAACACTAGAGCTTACCAAAGACGTGGCCAACAAATGAACTGGGCTCAGAACTGGAGTCTGGTTTGGTTCACAGCTGAGACCCAGTGATGTGAGGATCCCTGTCAGGATTTCATATTGCAGTGTACTGCTGACCTTCAGCTCATCAAAGTCTTCTGATTCCAGATTTCTGGAGCCTGATCCAATGTCAAAATGGACCTGCAGAAACACAAACACATAAATAAAACCTAAAAATACCTTCATTACTAAAAACTGAATTTGTAAGTGTTGATGTTATGAAGATTCAACAATACAAATAATAATTGTGTTCTTAACACATTTTTAAAATTTAAATGAATCATAGCCTGTCAAGTGACAAAAACACCATTAAGTACAGTCTCATGGGATTGTAAAATCTCACATAATCTCGAATCATCTCTTGTAGTATGTGTTGAAAATAATTTTAATTTACAACCGCACAAAATTCAGCTCAATTTTAGTAACTCTGTGTTTTAGCCATCTTTCTCATGGCTATGGTTGATTAGCTGTGGTAGGCATAACTCTGAAAAATAATGAGCTACAAATTTATAACAGATGATTATTTTGTGAAAGTCTCATTGAAATTTGTTCAGTGGTTTATGAGAGATTTTGCTAAGATCTTGACTGTAACAGTCAATGGCCAAGTTTTAAAAACAGATCCTGTGCAATCTAAGTGAGCATCTCATTTTGCTATAACTGTTGTTAGCCCGTTTAAAATTGAGAGAAAATAGTTCATTTTGATTAAAATTTGCATTTGTGACAGCTTGGTAAAATGTATTTTAAGTTGTGYACATTATTTTGTTAYCCACGTYAATGCTATCACCATTAAGTCCTAAACAGCATGCACATCAGGCAGGTCTTTCTACAGAARCAGCCTTACATGTTATTTTGTGAATAAAACGCAGTCCAGAACGTGGACAATATGCACTAAATCGAACCGGCAACCTACAGGACGACTCCCCTGACCACTCCACGACAGCCACCGGACATACAGGGGGCATTTTACAATGTACTTGTAGAAACGATTAGGATTGACCATAGAAAATAGGGTGCAGATTGGCTGAAATATGTGGAATTTAGAGTCAAACATATGTCAATGACATGATGTCTATCTAGACCAGTGGTTCCCAAAGTTGGGGTCGGGACCCACAGTGGGGTCCTGAAACATCAAGGTGGAGTCCTGAAAATTTTTCTGAATTATTTACACTAAAAAATGACAACCAACACCATTTTTGCCTTTGTTGTTACAAAATAATCAACTGACAACAGCTGGGGGCACAGGTCTCTGTTGCAGGTATTTTGTGGGTCAAAAACTGAAAAGTTTGGGAACCACTGATCTAGAGCACAGCCCTCATAAATTACAGTGTATAATAATCGTGCATCTTGAATTGAGAACAAAATAAGCATAACAGAAATACAAGGAATATGAAAATAGATTGGTATGGATTATAAGAAAGCATAAGAAGGAATATTACAGTGTCTTACTAAACAAAAGTAGGGGTGATATGAAAGCAACATGAATGAATGAATGAATGAATGAATGAATGAATGAATGAATGAATGAATGAATGAATG